AGAAATGTTTGCAGACACCAACCAAATGATGGGCCCTTGGGGGCCCCAAGAAGTTGCGCTCAGCCCCTGGGCCCACCAACCACAAATGTGTGTAATTTCATGGAAGGGGATGTCTAATTCTAGGAATGACACTCCAGGAACTGATCCTAGTGATAGCCGCAGGTGCTCTGGGCGAAGAATTATTCCGTCCTCAGGACTTTGTTATCCAAACACCCCATCTGTTCCAGTTCTGCGGAATTCTCCTTCTGTGTTCTGGATAATGTCCGCCTCCTCAGAGGTCCATCAGCAGCATGAAGACCTCTCTCATCAATCCCGCCTCCACAGAGCCTCCATCAGCAGCCTAAAGACCTCCCTCATCAATCCCACCTCCATAGAGGCTCCATCAGCAGCATGAAGACCTCGCTCATTAATCCCACCTCCACAGAGGCTCCATCAGCAGCCTGAAGACCTCCCTCATCAATCCCGCCTCCACAGAGGCTCCATCAGCAGCATGAAGACCTCGCTCATCAATCCCGCCTCCACAGAGGCTCCATCAGCAGCATGAAGACCTGGCTCATCAATCCCGCCTCCACAGAGGCTCCATCAGCAGCATGAAGACCTCTCTCATCAATGCCGCCTCCACAGAGGCTCCATCAGCAGCATGGAGACCTCCCTCATCAATCCCGCCTCCACAGAGGCTCCATCAGCAGCATGGAGACCTCTCTCATCAATGCCGCCTCCACAGAGGCTCCATCAGCAGCATGGAGACCTCTCTCATCAATCCCGCCTCCACAGAGGCTCCATCAGCAGCATGAAGACCTCGCTCATCAATCCCGCCTCCACAGAGGCTCCATCAGCAGCATGAAGACCTGGATCATCAATCCCGCCTCCACAGAGGCTCCATCAGCAGCATGAAGACCTGGCTCATCAATCCCGCCTCCACAGAGGCTCCATCAGCAGCATGAAGACCTGAAATCACACCTGAAGTCCTACCTGAAATCACACCTGAAATCACACCTCAAATTACAGCTGAAATCGCACCTGAAACCCAAACCATAAACTATCACATAACCCGTGGTAGAACACAAAGGGGCGGGATGTATAAAGCAGTCGCTGTGCGGATGTCCCAAGCAGTTGCATCACCGCCAGGAACATCTGTCATATTGTTTGTATTACAATTATCCTCTATGATCTTTAGCTCCATCTAGTGGCCATAATGCAGTATTTCTTTTTAGTATGGCAATGAAATTAAAAATACCACAATAGGCCAGTAGGGGGAGCTGATGATCACAGGGGAAATTCATACTGCAGACAATACAGCAATCAGCGGCGATCAGGAAATCCAACGTTTTCTATATAGGCCCCCTAGATTCAAGGAAGAACACCCGTTGTTACCATCTAAACAATATTTATTATCCCGGAGTTCAGCTTTTTTTTTTTTTTTCTTCTCCCTTTTTGCTCCTTTTTTTGCCAGATTTTTTTTTTTTTTTTTTTTACAAGTCTTCCTGTTCTACAACCCTTTGTATGCACTTTTACTTTGCAATCCCAACATTTCCTGTTTGAAGCAATTAAAAAAAAAAAAAATATATATATATATATATATAAAAAAATATAAAAAGGTGTGTGTCTGTGGGGGAGGGGAGCAGAAAACAGCCAAGATAGCTACGGAAATGCAAAGACCGCGGTGACATCACTGACCAAAGTCCGCAGACAGGACAGGACGCAGGTGGACTTACCGCATATTTAAATGTCAAGTTGAACTCTCTGTCGTTCGCTCGAAGACGCCTCTCTTTCTCTGCAGGGGAAGTAATAAAAAGAAAATAAAAAAAAAAGGAAGAAATATTTATAATGTAAAAATTATATTAATATAAAATTCATTTTAATTCTATATATATATAAAAATGATACAAATAATATTTATTATACATCGTTTCTAATTACTGATGGAAATACACTTCTACCTCAGAGCGGAGTACTTCCGGGTACAATTTAAAAAAAAAAAAAAAAAATTAATTTATTTATGGTACTTGCCCTCTAGAGGATTTACCCCCCCCCCCCCTTCCTGACCAGGCCAATTGTGCGCGGTCATGCAACGCCATACTCAAATGAAATGTATGTTCTTTTTTTCCCACAAATAGAGCTGTCTTTCTATATATATATATATATAAAAATGATATAAATAATCGTGCGACTTCGTTGTAAATCGATTTCAAAGTCGGGATCTGTGTGACCGGGGTGTAAAGCAACCCAGATCACTTCTGACTCTGGGGGCCCCAGATACAGCCAGTCGCTAATGGCTGAACTTTGGATACATTTACCTGAAATTTTCATTTGATACAGAGACATCCGAGGATGAAACCAAATACATTGTATCCAAAATATACTTCACTGTATTAGTGCCCGGTCATTGAAATCGCACCTGAAATCGCATCTCATGAATGTGAATGTCAGTGTCTTACACCCCGGTCACATCACACCCTACTCTGAAATCATGCAACTTACAGCGAAGTCGCACGATTTCAAAGTCGATTTCAGGTGCGATTTGCAAGACAACTGATACAGATGTCCATGCAAATCGCACCACAAGTAGTGCATGTACTCCTTTAGAAACCGGTGCGCCTCGACCAGGTCAAAATCGCATGGATATGACCGCTCTAATTGCGGACAATCGGCTGCAATTTGGCATGCGATTTGCAAGTCGCGTGGCATGCGAATCGCATGCCAATCTGCATCCAGTGTGACGGGGGTCTTAACGTGCAATTTGCTGCAGAGCGGTGTCTAAAGTAGTTCTTGCATTACTTTTTCTGCAGTTGTTGCGATTTCACATACATAGAATATGGAAATCGCACTGCAAATTACAAGAAACTGCTGAAAATCTTCACAAGTAGCAATAAGGTCTTCAGAAATCACACTGAAATCGCACCTGAAATTATGCTGAAATCGCACCTGAAATTGCACTTGAAATCAACCCTGAAATCGCACCTGAAACTGCACCTGAAATCACACCTGATAATACCCCTGAAATCGCACCTGAAATCACACTGAAATCACAGCTGAAATCACACTTGAAATCGCACCTGAAATCACAGCTGAAATTGCACCTGAAATCGCACCTGAAACCACAGCTGAAATTGCACTTGAAATCACCCTTGAAATTGCACCTGAAATCGCACCTGAAATCACACCTGATAATACCCCTGAAATCACACTGAAATCACAGCTGAAATTGCACCTGAAATTGCACCTGAAATCGCACTTGAAATCACCCCTGAAATTGCACCTGAAATCACCCTTGAAATTGCACCTGAAATCACCCCTGAAATTGCACCTGAAATCACCCCTGAAATCGCACCTGAAATCACAGCTGAAATGGCACCTGATATTGTACCTGAAATCGCAGCTGAAATCACACTTGAAATCACCCCTGAAATCACAGCTGAAATCGCACCTGAAATCGCAGCTGAAATCGCACTTAAAATCACCCCTGAAATCACACCTGATTTTCAGAGCTGAGTACGTCTGGGTACAATTTAAAAAATTTTTTTTTATTTATTTATGGTATTTGCCCTCTAGAGGATTTACCCCCCCCCCCCTTCCTGACCAGGCCAATTGCGCGGTCATGCAACGCCATACTCAATTAAATTTATGTCCTTTTTTCCCACAAATAGAGCTTTCTTTCTATATATATATATAAGAATGATATAAATAATATTTATTATACATCATTTCTAATTACTGATGGAAATACACTTCTACCCGGTAACACTCCTCAGAGCTGAGTACTTCTGGGAACAATTTAAAAAAAGAATTAAACAAAAATAAAAATATTTATTTATGGTACTTGCCCTCCAGAGGGTTTACCACCCCCCCCCCCCTTCCTGACCAGGCCAATTGCGCGGTTGTGCAACTCCGCACCCAAATAAAATTTAAGTCCTTTTCTCCCCACAAATTGAGCTTTCTTTCAGTGGTATTTGATCGGTTGTGCGTTATTTATTTTTTGTGCTTTAAACAAAAAAAAAACCAAACATTTAGAAAAAAAAACAATATTTTTTTACTTTTTGCTACAAAACATGTCCAGTAAAGAAAAAATGTAAAAATCAAATTTTGTCATAAATTTCTGCCAAAATGTATTCTGCGACATGTCTTTGCTAAAAAAAAAATCCCAACATGTGTAAATTAACCCCTCGCCCTCCTGAGGATTTCCCCCCCTTCCTGACCAGGTTATTTTTTGTGTTACTTTAACTGACAATTGCGCGGTCATGCAACACTGCACCCAAATGAAATGTATGTCTTTTTTTCCCACGAATAGATCTTTCTTTTGATGGTATTTGATCGCCTGTGCGTTTTTTATTTTTTGCGCTATAAACAAAAAAAGACTGACAATTTTGAGAAAAAAACACCATTTTGGACTTTTTGCTATAAAACATGTCCAATAAAAAAATTTTAAAAATCAAATTTCGTCATAAATTTAGGCCAAAATGTATTCTGCTCCGTGTCTTTGCTAAAAAAAATCCCAATACGTTTAATTTAACCTCTCGCCCTCCTGAGGATTTCCCCCCCTTCCTGACCAGGTTATTTTTTATGTTATGGCGCTGTGTTACTTTAACTGACAATTGCGCGGTCATGCAACGCTGCACCCAAATGAAATTTATATCCTTTTTTAACACAAATAGAGCTTTCTTTTGGTAGCATTTGATCGCCTGGGTGGTTTTTATTTTTTGCGCTATAAAGAAAAAAATACCGACAATTTTAAGAAAAAAATAATATTTTGGACTTTTTTTCTATTACCACCTTCCGCCCGCAATGACGGGTGGAAGGTGGTTCTCTCATTCTGATAGGACGTCATATGACATCCTTCCATTCTCACCGCGCATGCACGGCTCAGGGAGAGCGCAGCGCGGCGATTGCTGGTGCGCTGTGTCCCTCGGACACAGCGGATCACGGAAAGAGCCGAAGATGTCAGCGCTGAGCAAACTATTGGCACTTTATAAATACTGTATAATAATAATAATAATGTCGGCTCGGTCATGTGATCGGCTGTGTCCAATCACAGCTGATCACATGTAAACAGGGAAATGCCGGTTATCGGCATTTCTCTCCTCACGAGCTGTCATGCTGACAGAGGAGAGGAGAGCCAGTAATCGGCATTCCTCAGAGGGGACATCTACACTGATCATCAGGGCACTGCCCATCAGTGCCATGTGCCAGTGCACATCAATGCCACATATCAGTGCCCATCTGAGCTTCCTTTCAATGTCACCCATCAGTGCCAGTCAGTGCCACCTATCAATGCCAATCAGTGCCACCTATCAGTGCTGCCAATCAGTGCCACCTATCAGTGCCGCCTAACAGTGCCAGTCAGTGCCGCCTATCAGTGCCAGTCAGTGCCGCCTATCAGTGCCATATATCAGTGCCATATATTAGTGTCATGTATCAGTGCTGCCTTTCAATGCCCATCAGTGATGCCTGTCAATGCCCATCAGTGCAACCTACCAGTGCCTCCTCATCAGTGCCCATCAGTGCCACCTATCAGTGCCCATCACTGCAGCCTCATTAGCACACATCAGTGAAGGAGCAAAATCATTTATTTACAAAATTGTATAACAAAAACTAAGAAAAAACATTTTTTTGTTTAAGAAAAAATAAAAATCCCAGAGGTGATTAAATACTACCAAAAGAAAGCTCTGTCTCAAAAAAAAATTATAAAAATTTCATATGGGTACAGTGTTGCATGACCGCGCAATTGTCATTCAAAGTATGACAGCGCTGAAAGCTGAAAATTGGCCTGGGCAGGAAGGGGGTAGAAGTGCCCTGTAGGCAGGAAGGGGTAGAAGTGCCCTGTAGGCAGGAAGGGGGTAGAAGTAGGCAGGAAGGGGTAGAAGTGCCCGGTAGGCAGGAAGGGGGTAGAAGTGCCCTGTAGGCAGGAAGGGGGTAGAAGTGCCTGTAGGCAGGAAGGGGGTAGAAGTGTCCTGTAGGCAGGAAGGGGGTAGAAGTGTCCTGTAGGCAGGAAGGGGGTAGAAGTGTCCTGTAGGCAGGAAGGGGGTAGAAGTGTCCTGTAGGCAGGAAGGGGGTAGAAGTGTCCTGTAGGCAGGAAGGGGGTAGAAGTGCCCTGTAGGCAGGAAGGGGGTAGAAGTGTCCTGTAGGCAGGAAGGGGGTAGAAGTGTCCTGTAGGCAGGAAGGGGGTAGAAGTGTCTGGTAGGCAGGAAGGGGGTAGAAGTGCCCTGTAGGCAGGAAGGGGGTAGAAGTGCCCTGTAGGCAGGAAGGGGGTAGAAGCGCCCTGTAGGCAGGAAGGGGGTAGAAGCGCCCTGTAGGCAGGAAGGGGGGTAGAAGTGCCCTGTAGGCAGGAAGGGGGTAGAAGCGCCCTGTAGGCAGGAAGGGGGTAGAAGCGTCCTGTAGGCAGGAAGGGGGTAGAAGTGCCCTGTAGGCAGGAAGGGGGTAGAAGTGCCCTGTAGGCAGGAAGGGGGTAGAAGTGTCTGGTAGGCAGGAAGGGGGTAGAAGTGCCCTGTAGGCAGGAAGGGGGTAGAAGTGCCCTGTAGGCAGGAAGGGGGTATGAGTGCCGGGTAGGCAGGAAGGGGGTATGAGTGCCCGGTAGGCAGGAAGGGGGGGTAGAAGTGCCCTGTAGGCAGGAAGGGGGTAGAAGCGCCCTGTAGGCAGGAAGGGGGTAGAAGCGCTCTGTAGGCAGGAAGGGGGTAGAAGTGCTCTGTAGGCAGGGAAGGGGGTAGAAGTGCCCTGTAGGCAGGAAGGGGGTAGAAGTGCCCTGTAGGCAGGAAGGGGGTAGAAGTGCCCTGTAGGCAGGAAGGGGGTAGAAGTGCCTGTAGGCAGGAAGGGGGTAGAAGTGCCCTGTAGGCAGGAAGGGGGTAGAAGTGCCCTGTAGGCAGGAAGGGGGTAGAAGTGCCCGGTAGGCAGGAAGGGGGTAGAAGTGCCCTGTAGGCAGGAAGGGGGTAGAAGTGCCCGGTAGGCGAGGGGTTAATCCAGTGTTCTAATGTAGCCCTACTGTCCCAGTAGCACAGGAAACAAAGGTATTTGGTGTGTGACCTCCTTGCAGAAGGAAAATATTAAATAAATGTGGATATCTACATAAAATGATATTATAAACACTATCCTAAAAATACAGCATCATATCGTCACACTAAAGCATCACTGACTCGCAATCCTAAGTGACAAAGAGTTCATTTCGGGTAAAGTCAAGGACAACGGGATATGCCGATAGCATAAAAATGAGACGTGATAGAGAAAATCTGAGATCATATTTGGAATCAGCGCCCTGAAAAAGTCCAGGCCAGAATATTTTTAATTTTTTTTTTTGTTAACCGGAGTTATAGAATATAGGACAGAAAGAGAAGGAGAATCTCTCTACTGGGGACACAGACAGGAATAAAAACCTGACAGGGGGTCTAATCCCTCTCCACTCCATCCAAAACACAATAAAAAAAAAAGGTTTTGTCTTTAGCTATACTTTATCCCAACTTCAAAGTCTCTGCTGGAATCTTTTGAGAATGAATGGCCCCACAGTGGCTGCAGCTCACAGAGGTCAGTGAGGCGGGAGCACTTTAAAGCTTGAAAAAAAACTTGAAAAAAGCCCATTGGGCATATAAAGGGGGTAACAGGTGACCAGAAAATGCAGTATAAGGGGAATCCCCCAAAAAGTCCCTCTTGTATATTTACCATCCCCCTAAATATGTAAAAAGGTAACAGTGCACAACCAAGGGGTTGCAATCCCTCTCCACTCCGTCCAAACATAATAAAAAAAAAAAAGTTTTGTCTTTAGCTATACTTAATCCCAACTTCAAAGCCTGTGCTGGAATCTTTTGAGAATGAATGGCCCCACAGTGGTTGCAGCTACAGAGGTCAGTGAGGACTTGTTTTAAAGCTGTTTAGGAATATGCAAATATTTTATTGTTCATAGTCACGGGTGCACTTTAAAGCTTGAAAAAGCCCATTGGGCATATAAAGGGGGTAACAGGTGACCAGAAAATGCATTATAAAGGGAATCCCCAAAAAGTCCCTCTTGTATATTTACCATCCCCCCAAAAATTAAATATGTAAAAAGGTAACAGTGCACACCCAAGGGGTTCTAATCCATGTCCACTCTGTCCAAAACGAATCTTAAAAGTTATACTTTATCCCAACTTCAAAGTCTCTGCTGTAATCTTTTGAGTATGAATGGCCCCACAGTGGCTGCAGCTACAGAGGTCAGTGAGAACTTGTTTTAAAGATGTTTAAGAATATGCAAATATTTTAATAATAATATTAATAATAATAAAAACAATATTTTTGTTTACCCCTCTGCCTGCTGGGCACTTTCACCCCTTTCCTGCCCAGGCCAATTCCTAGCGAATTCCGCACCGCATCACAATCGCACCCCATTTATGCACACCACTGCGGGTGTGTATGTTAAGTTAACAACACCCCAAAATTGGTCCGCAAATTGGTCCGCATTGGATCCGCAAAACACTGTGCGATGTGCAGAATCGGATCGCATGGGTGTGAATACCCATGCGATCCAATTCTAGTGCGGATCAAGAAAAGGGTCCTGCACTTTTTTGGTGCGGTGTGATTGGAGCCATCCAATCGCACCGCACACAAATCGCATGTGATCTGCACAGGAATGCGGTGCAGTTCCTGTGCGACTTACATGCGATATACCGCACCGCATCAGTGTGAACCCGGGCTGAATGTCAGTGTTGCTGTACTGCGCTGTATACATCATACAGACGCACCACTTCACAGGCAGGTTTAGGGGACAACCCCCAACCCCCCCCCCCCCCCCTCCCCCCAGGCATGTTATTGAAGGGAATTGGGCATTTTTAACCATTTCCAGTCCAGGCCGATTCTGACATGTGAAAAAAATCACTTTTGTGCTAGAAAACAACTTAGGATCTCGGAACATTCTATTTTGTGGGCAGAGGCCCCTAGGGAATGAAATGGGGGGTGTTGCCTTGTTTTATGTCAGGCGGTATTTGCGCGGAGGTCTTCCAAATGCAAAGTTCTTTGAAAAATACACAAAAACGCAATATAATGCCAGATAATAAAATATAAAAGATGATGTGATCTTTTACAAGTAAACAGATATCCAACATGTCAGGCTTCAAAACTGCGCCGCGCCCGTGCGACGGCGCCAAACTGCAGTACCTGAAAATCTCCAGAGGTGTCGTTATAAAAGCCTTTACAGGATTCCAGTTTAGAGTAAGGGTCCCACACGGCGTGACGGTTATTTCATCAGTTCAGTTCTCAAGACAGATCAGTTTATATCCGTTTTTTCATCCGTTTTCATCAGTTTGTCATCCGTTTACATCTGTTTTTTTTCAACCATTTTTGCATCAGTTTACATCCATTTTTTCATTACTTTACATCTGTTTTTTGTCATCAGTTGACATCAGTTTTTTTCATGTTTACATCCATTTTTTCATAATTTTACATCTGGTTTTTTTTCATCAGTTTACATCCGTTTTTTAATCAGTTTACATCTGTTTTTTTCAACCATTTACATCTGTTTTTTCATCTATTTACATCAGTTTTTCACCCATTTTTTTCATCAGTTTACCTCAGTTTTTCATCAGTTTACACCCGTTTTTTTCATCCATTTATATCCGTTTTTCATCAGTTTACATCAGTTTTTCATCAGTTTACATCAGTTTTTCATCCCTTTACATCTGTTTTTTCATCAGTTTTACATCAGATTTTCATCAGTTTACATCTGTTTTTCATCAGTTTACATCTGTTTTTTCAACCATTTTTGCATCAGTTTACATCCATTTTTTCATTACTTTACATCTGTTTTTTGTCATCAGTTTACATAGTTTTTTTCATGTTTACATCCATTTTTTTATAATTTTACAACCGTTTTTTTTTTCATCAGTTTACATCTGTTTTTTTTCATCAGTTTTTCATCAGTTTTACATCCGTTTTTTTCATCCATTTACATCCATTTATAGCCATTTTTTTTCATCTGTTTACATCCGTTTTTTCATCAGTTTACATCCATTTTTTTCATCAGTTTTTTCATCCGTTTTTTTCATCAGTTTACATCAGTTTTTCATCAGTTTACACCCTTTTTTTCATCCATTTATATCTGTTTTTTCATCAGTTTACATCCATTTTTTTTCATCAGTTTACATCCATTTTTTTTTATCGGTTTAAATCTGTTTTTTTCATCCGTTTTTTCATCAGATTACATCTAGTTTTTTTTTTTTATCAGTTTACATCCATTTTTTTTATCAGTTTACATCTATTTTTAAATTTTTATTTTTTTTTTTTTTTTATATTTTTTTTTTTTTTATTTTTTTTCTTTTTCTTTTTTTTATTTTTTTTTTTTTAATATATTTTTTTTATTTTTTTTTTTCATCCATTTTTGCATCAGTTTACATCCATTTTTCATCAGTTTACATCCATTTTTCATCGGTTTACATCCATTTTT